CCTGTAACCCTACTGCCCCCCTCCCCCAAATCCAAAGGGTTGTTGGGGTTGCGGTCCTTCCAAGCTGCCCGCCACTGCAGCCCACACAGGTGGTGAAAGCTACAAAAGCTGCCCAAGAGCTCTGGCCAGTGCTGTTCAAAGCCATTCCAGATCTGGCATCAGAGCCCCAGGGGACACGGCACCACGGCTGCACACGTCCCGTCCCAGGGAAGCAGAGTGTCACTGCTATGTACAGGCTAACAACTTTTCTCTCCTTCTGTCTCCAGCTGATACAGAAGGCTTTTGTCCTCCCCTTCCTGCCCATCTGGATGACTTTCACCCTCGGCACCATCTCCAAGGCACAAGGGGCTCATGATGTAGCGATAGTCACTTGTGACAGCAGCAGCTGCCCCAGCAACAGTCTCTTCACCGTCCGTGTTTCCAAAGGAAGCGTGCAGGGCAGGGTCACTCGCAGATGCCTCTTTGTCCTTCCCAATGTTGACATACAGAGGATCTTGACTGGAAGAGAGTGTGGACATCCTCCCCCGAATCATTTCCAGCTGGGACCGGAGCACTCCAAAGCTGGGGCGTAGCTTGGGCTCAGGATGCCAACATCTGCACATGAGATCGTAGCTGTAAAACAGAGGGAGACAAGAGCACTGAGAAGCAGAGCAGCCACCCCCTGCATCTCTGAACAGGGGCTCTGCGCAGTGCAGCTTAAAAAGCAGAGACACTTTCCCCCAAACCTATCGGCTTTGGCCTTGCACAGGTGACAGCACGTGGGAAGCCATCATGGATCTAATTCCTTGTTCCTTCCCATTTTCAAAGGCATTCTCATTTTCGTCAAAATAATTATTTAGACAGTACCAAAACACCCAAAAGCCCTGTCAAAGGATGCTGAACTTCTTGGTAAAAACCTCGTTCCACTGTCTCTGGAGAGCTAGAATAGGACCATGAATGTGACACCACTTAGTAATAGCTTTTGAATTTATTCACAAAAAGCATCCTGACAACCTCTGCTGCAGCTGAAGCCGTCCCTCCAAATTCTAGTTCAAGAGCAGATAAAACACAGGAAGAAAGAAAACAGAGATCCAACTGTGGGAGGTGCAAGTTATTTCCAGAATATTCTTTTTTCACACTGCGTTAACTCAGCGCTCCCGGCATAATGGAGGTGTGCCACTGTAGCTGCCCGACAAGTTGCCAATGGGACTGGAAAAAGGCACAGTGGGTTTGTTTAGAGGGCTGTAGAGGAATGGACAACAGCTTCACTGCTGGAAGAGGGATGCTCAAATGGCCTTTCTACTACAAAGGCACCACCCCTATGCAGAAGACGTATTCAGTGCCGTTACCAGCCTCAGGCCCTGTCCTGCAGCGTTTCTCCTGCGGTCAAATACCAGCTACCTCAGCTCTGGCTGCCTGAGGGTCAGCGTGAGGAGACGTCGCTGGCTCCGATGACCTGTGCTCGGGCAAGGAGCTCTGCTCTCCTGCGGCCGCCTTTGCGGCTCAGCGCCTGCGTTGGCTGGCCTCCTGCCAGCCAGGCCTCCCGCCGGAGCCCAGTGGGCTGGAGCGCGGCCAGAGCCATTGTCTTCCTCCTCTTTATGCATCACCCACAAGACTGGCAGCTGCATTCCTATGGCGTTATTGTTGCCAGTTCTGCAGGCAACAGGAACAAAGCACAGTACTGGCACTGAAAAACACCGCAGACAAACGAACCTCAGTTAAACTTGTAAATAGAAAAAATCTGATATGGCCTTTACTGGGAAATAAAGCATTTCACGATGGCTTTTATTTTACTTTTTGTGTCCCTTGCTTGCTATTAGCTTTACAAGACTGTTTTTGACCTCACACTAGTTTTACAGAAAGTTTCTATGATTCAGTGGTCTTAATCCTGATTTACATCCCTCACAAACGGTAGAAATAACTCTAAATGCTCCAGATAAAATAGAAACTTCCTATTCTGTGGCACTAAATTAAATACTTTCTTTTACCCTCACTGGCAAACAGCAGAAATTCATTTGAAAGAAAGGTAGAAAACTACTGGCTGTACTGAATCAGCCCAAAAGTCCATTTGCCCCAGTACCCAGCCTCTGACAGTGGCCAGTAGCAGATGCTTGCGGAAAGCACATAACCTGAGGGTGAGCATGTAGTGAGATCTTTCTGGTATATTCTCTCAGGTCTCAATAACCTGTAGCTCAAGGGCCTCTTGAAATGGAGGTTGTACCTTTTTAGTAGTTTTTGATGGATTTTTCTTCAATGCCTTGCAGCTTTTTGAATCTCTTCTCTACTTTTGGCATCTATAACATCCTATGGCCATAAGCTCCACAACTTGGAACCAAAACTACTCACAGCAGTCAAGATGCAGACATATAATGAATTTAAGCAGTGGTAAAACGATGTTTTCATTTAAACTCAGGGAACAGTTAAAACGAACTGCTGAGAAGATAAAAGAGTACAGCTTTAATAACAAGAGTACAGATTATTCCCTATGTGGAAAAAAGGCTGGAGAAAAGAAACCACGTGAAATAATCCACCATCAGAGCAGGAAGGAAAGGGGGAGGAAAGAGGATCATAGAATCATAGAATCATAGAGGTTGGAAGAGACCTCTATGATCATCGAGTCCAACCGTCAACCCAACACCACCATGCCCACTAAACCATGTCCCTAAGCGCCTCATCTACATGTCTTTTAAATACCTCCAGGGATGGTGACTCAAACACTTCCCTGGGCAGACTGTTCCAATGTTTAACCACTCTTTCAGTAAAGAAATTTTTCCTCATGCCCAATCTAAACCTCCCCTGGCGCAACTTGAGGCCATTTCCTCTCGATGTTACGTTGTCCATTTTGCACACAAGGAACGGCTTGAAAGGCCACTAAAGTCAGTGCTCATAGTTATGTCTTGCTTTGGGCAGGACACAGAGAAAACAGAGACTTGCTTGGGCACTCAGTGAAATGATTTTGCCTTTTCTGGAATAGGCAAGCTTTTGCCCTGGGAGAAGTTATGGTGACACTCCCTGGGGGACCTCAGCCCCATGTGTGGACTCTAGGAAACTTATTGCAGCCACCACCCGTGGGGCAACAGTTCCTGAGCAGACATTTCACGTAACCTGCTGGCCAAGAATGGTCCCTTGGCCGCAGGACTAAGGCAGGAGCAGAGGCTGCAGCATGTGGCTGCCTGCTCCTCCGCAGGCTACCTGAGCCCTTCCTGCAAGCCTGAAAATGTCTGAAACCAATATCTGCAAGACTGTCCTGGTTTTGTTTCCACCTGTAATTTAAGGTGGGACATTGATCTACAGAGCCTTAGATCCTCCTCTCTCTCCTCTTCTCTTTCACTCTGCTACTTCTGTAAGAGTAGATCCAATTTTGAAAACTGGGCCCAGCTTTGAAAGACACATGCAGGCCACTGCCTCTGCAATCCAGTTTTCTCGTAGTCTTGCTAGATTGCTTTTCTATTCAACCTTTGGGGTGTGCCATGAAACTCATCTCTTTTCTCACATGCTGACCTGAGAAGGTAGGGAGCAGTGAGCAGGGAGTGTGTGAGGAAACACAGTTATAGTTTCCACAAAGCCAAGAGCTTCTAATGTTGACACTGTTCAAACCCTTGAGCCAAGTTAGCTGCTTGTGTAGCTACCACAGGTTCCAGGGAGCTGTGCCAGCAAAGACTATCTGGTAGCTAACCCAGAGACTTTCTAGTGAATGCCTCTGTGTACTGGAAAGTGGATATTCAGACCAGTGCTCCAGCCAGCTGCCCCTGTTTCCTTCCAGCGAGCCAAACTTCTCAAGGAATCACATGTCAGCAGGGCGAGGAAGTACTCACACATCTTCCAGGCACTCCGGCGGCTGCTTCAGCCTGTTCCCACTGATGAGGTAGTTGTAGATTTCTGCATTCTCAATGCCAGCATAAGGGGTTTGCCCTCGAGTCACAATCTCCCACATGGTCACCCCAAAAGCCCACTGAAAGAGAACAGCACACAGAACAGGTGAACAGACAGTTCCCTGCTTGCTGGGGTGGGGTTTCAGCATGCTCAGACTGTGCCAACCCTCCCAGCCTGGGGTAATGTCATGTGAGTAGCAGTGATGCAAGAACTATCCAAACTCTAACTAGAAAACAAAGAAATGACCCAGCTGATGCTGACGCATCATCTTGGGAGACAGGTGAAGGCCCGGCTCAGCCCTATCCTGCAGGGGAAGATTTGGGAGCTACTGCTGCCTTCCACCTGCAGACCTCTCCCAAGTATCTCCTACTCATGGTTCTTTAAGGCATGCAGTATCAGTTTTGTGGTTCCCAGCTACATGAAGATTTTGGTTTGGGGTTCACAAATCATTCCTTGAGCCAGATTCTGGGTTACTGGAAATGTACAGGCACAAATGAAAGCAGAGTTTAGCCAATAAAACAGGGCAAGAAACAAACCACTTATGGCTCACATTCATTTGTGCTCTGCACTGCAACAGTCATACTTGTACATTTAAATCTAAACGGCAAGGTTTGTTAGGTGCAAGAAATTGTGATTTTCGTAAGCAAAACAGTGTCTGTTGTAAACTGGCTGAACTAGTGATCACCAATCACTAAACACTGCCTACAGTGGTTACAGCAATCACTGGGCAACACAGCAGCCGAGTTAGAAGGCACTCTTGGTGATCTCTTCAGGGACACTGTGACATGGATAACTAGGAAGGCAAGTCCACAGGTCTGAAGGACAAAACTAGTGTGAAACCAGATGAAAAGGCAGCAAGGAAGAGGGGAGAAGGTATCAGAAGAAAAAAAACAAAGGGAAAGGAAGCAAAAATTTCAGATGAATGGGCTTAGCCTCACTCTCCAAGGCCGAAGTGATGGGGAGGAGTGTCTAAGCACTGATATATTCAGAGTCCACAAAGTTCCACCAATGCCTTCTGTAGGATGGAGTATCATTGCTGCACTTGTACATAAGTGTGTGGCTTTCACACACATTTCAAATGTCACCTTCAAATTGTCATGCAGAAGAGAAAGGAAAAAGAGTAAGAGTAAGAGCAAGAGTAAGAGTAAGAGTAAGAGTAAGAAAGGAGAGACTGCATAAAGAGAGAGGAAAAGGAGGAGAAAGGGAAAGGTAAAGGAGGGGATGGGGATAAGCACTGAAGAATGAAGGACCAAAGGACAAGAAGAAAAGGGTTCATGTCTTCTGCCATAAACTACTCATACACATCTCTAGTCTTAAGTTCTGAAAGCACCCAAGGCACAGGTGGCACTGTCCCTCAAACACAAGGCAAATTCCCTTTCCCATAACCAGGGCCTTCTCCCACTCTCAATGAATACAGAAGCTTTCCTCCACTTCAGCA